TTCTTTGATGGAGCTCCATTCAGTCTCTGTGTTGTCCATGTTCAGGACTCTCAGTCTGGAAGTAGTCCCTGGCCTTTGATGGGGCTCCATTCAGTCTCGGTGTTGTCCGTGTTCAGGACTCTCAATCTGGAAGTAGTCCCTGGAAGCCCTTGATGGAGCTGGTGTCTGTCTGGTAGAGCCACAGGGCAGCTGGGGGCAGGGTGACGGGTTACATGCTAGTCTGCTGGCTCTGCCAGGCCACCTAGTAATGCCAAAGCTGCTCACATAGTTCATGATGGTCACGCCACATCTAACCGTGGTTCACTAGTCAGTCTCCCCCTCTCAACGTCCCTGCTCAGCTTCTCTTCCCAGCATGCACTCCATCCACTTCTCCAACTTTTATTCTGAAATTCATGGTTCCAGGATTTTCATGTGTGTCTGGTTTTTGTTTGTTTTTTTGGTCTCTCATATCCTTGTAGAGGAACCGTGTAGTGCCATCTGACAAGAAGTTGAATGCTCTTAATTTAACCTGGCGTTATTCTTACAGCAGGGCTTGCCCAAATGCTAACTTATCCAGAGCAAAAGTCAAATGTAGATGTGTAAATGCATAGAATCTTCATGGCTCATTAAGCTCAAGGATTGAGTGGGTATGATTCAAAGTGGAAATTCACTTGTGGTAATTAGTACATGTGAAACTATTGCAGCAGAGACTCAAAGATATTGTGACTTAAACAAGTAGATTACTTTCACCCTTATCTCTCCTTAGAGATAGACAGTTCTGTTTCCAGACTACGCAGAAGACCACCTACTCTTCCTCAGAGTGTTGTCTCATGGCTCTTGCCTGCTGGTAAACTGGTCTTACTTATGAATTAATTCTTTATCCATAACAATCTCCTTATGTTTTAGGGGTTGGGGCCATTTAAAGATATGGCTCTGGCCTTCCCTGAAGAAGAATGGAGGCATGTAACCCCAGCCCAGATAGACTGCTTTGGTGAATATGTGGAACCAGAGGATTGTGGGGTCTCATCTCCAGGTAAGACCATTTACATTCCACAGATAAAGATGTGAGTTTTAAGAGATATAGGTCATGGTTCTTGCCCTAGCTCAGAGACTTGAAAACCTTGTCCTGACAGAGGAAGGGGACTTCATGGCCAGAGGAGGTAATGGGTATAGAGAAAGAATCGTAGACCAAGGTGTGTAAGGAGGTAGCTAGATGGATTTCTGTGTCAAGAGTGGAGCCAGACAGGAGACAGTTTCTGGCTGTAACGAGATGGTTCAGTCATTAGAATTTCCTGAATACCTTCTATGTATCCATGACTGAAGGGTACTGAGGGCTTGAGAGCAAGAGAAAAGAGGTAAAAGATGTATCATCTGATCTCATTCATTTAGCAGACATTTACTGAGGACCCACTCCACACAGTGACCAAGGGTGTCTGAATGGGAGAGGTTGCTTTGGTCATTGTCGAGAAGATGCAAAGCCAGGTTTGATTAGGGTTAGAGCTTGGGAAGATGCTGCTATCATGCCCATGATTGAGGTTTATAGTAGGAAAAAGCACTAAGAGGAAGGAGGAGGAAGGGAAAGTGAGCCAAGACAAGTGCAGGGTAAGGGCACTGTGGGCATCGGTGACTAGCAGAGTGATGAGTAATTTGGAAAATCTCTGTGGGTCCGATTGAATAGAACACTGGGGAGAGGAAGTAAAGGATTCCCGGGAATGGCCCTCTCTTGGTTCTCCTCTGATTTTCTTTCTTTTTTTTCAGAACTTCTGTATAGCTCTGTACTGAATTCCACGTCACCTTTTCTCAACTTGAAATGTGTTGAGTGATGAGGGAGAGTGTCAGGACCCGAGAGAGGCCTGGCTTCTGGGTAGCTCATTTTAAGTGTTAGTTCCCTCAGTTGTAAAATGGGGATAATATGGAACACTACTCAGGGACTTGTGAAGATTGAATTCATTATTAAATGATTCCTTTATGAACCAGTCAGCATTCATCCAAAATGTTCATTTGGTATTTAGTATGTGGCCAACATTATGGTAGACACCATGAAGAGTAAAAATAAAGGTGTTTGCTGCTAAGGATTTCGTAGTTAAGGTGAAGAGCCCAAGTACATATAATAATGACTTTTATGAAGTAATGTTAGGAGCGAAGTCCTGGTCTGGTGCAGATTAGCACTGAACTGCTAATTGCAAGGTCAGTGGATCAAACCCACTAGCCGCTCATTGGAAAACCAGTACAGGGTTGTTATGAGTTGGAACTTACTCAATGGAGCTTAACAATTACAAGTATAAGAAAGTGGGGGAATAGTTGGGACAGGAAATCTACATCCAGGGTCTAAGGTTATCATACCATGACAGTGATCGAGTGACTGAAAGATGCTGAAATATTTTGCATAGAGATATAAAATGTTTTTAACGGTAAAGGATGAGGAAGCCTAAGATAATTGTACAGCATGCCATAGACAAAAGTTCCTCTGTGCCTGTTTCCTAATTTCCCTCAGGTAACTTCCTCTAGGGGCTAAGGATTCTTCCCTCCCTTACCCAGAGGACTTACATTCCCTCCTGCCCATTTCTGACTGCTCACCAGGTCACTGTTTCATGACAGCTCAAACACATGCTGAGTGTTTATGCTGAGCCTGTGTGACATGAAGGTCAGTTTCTCAGGTGTCTCAACCGTCAGGTGTTCCTGATCTTCATTCCTATGCTGTCCCATCAGTAGCTGTGAGGATTGGGCCTGAATTTTTTCTGTAAAGAAGATTAGCATCAAGGAAGTATTGAACCAGTGATTTCTTAGACCCCTCCAGTTCTGTGTTGCTCTCATTAGAAAGTAATGATCTTTTAAGCTTGGGTGCAGAGAGTAATTGCACTAAGAGTAATGAACAGGATGGGCCAGACTAGTTGTAGAACACTCAGATTGATGAAGACATAGATATTTAGCAAGAATTTGGAAGATGATTTAGAAAATGGGAGCCAAAAAGTAATATGTGCAAAACCATGAGTTTAGGTATCATTGGCATGTTCATGGGAAAGGAAGGGCACTGGTGTGAAAGACTAGTGTTCAGAAGGAGTAAGAAGGAGGTTGGGACAAGTAGAGCAAGGCCAGCCAGGAAAACCATGGGCTTGCTCTCATTTAGCTAGGAACATTGGATTGACGGCAGGATATAGTTGTCCTGCAAGGTTGAAAGACTGACTGTCAGTGAGTGTGCTGGAGTGTGGAGGCCTGAGGGCGGTGGACAAGGGGAGCTTACTGAAATAGTGTTCCAGAAATTTGGTCAGAGATTGGTCTGAGGAGAGGAAAGAGAAGAAACAAATAAAGTCTAAGATATAGGAAGGGAATGTTTTCCCAAGGAGAGAAAGGCGATCCACGTGGGAAGTCTCTGAAGTAGTTGGAAATCAGTTACGCTGTTTAAGGGCAAAGATAATACCGCCTACCACTGCAATCCTGCTCCAGATGTACAGCAATCTCATGACTGTAATCCACTTTAAAGATGACAACGCTAAGACTCAGGTTGAGTGGGAGAGACTTCCAGTTTGGGGCTGAGGAAGTGAAAGGGAATCAGGAAAGTTTCTTCGGTGGAAGCGCAGAAAAGCCAGAAAAAACATTTTGCCAGGACAATCCCAGAGCTTTAAATTCAATATAAAGTAAGAGGAAATAGTTTCAGGGGCCAACCAGGGGAGAAATCTACTGGAGCAGGAAGGAACATGGAGATTTCTGAATCAATCGGGACTCTGCTTCTTAACCCACAGTCTTGTCGGACGGAGGTCAGAGGGTGGGTTATAGCCAGCAGCTAGGGAGTGAAAACCACCCAGCGATTTATGGAAAAAGTTGTGGTGTTTTTTTTCTTTCACTATTTTCCCTTCAACTCCTGTGCTCCGTCCTGTCACATCCTCTCTGCCCTGCCTGGGTGTCTAAACGCAGGTGGGAGTGCACCCCCAAAAGGGTCCGGCATTGTGCACGCAGTGAACAATTTTCCTATGGTGCAAAGTAGTTAAAAGTGCAGAGGCTAATCCTCTGGTGGGTTCTTAAAACATGTGACTGTGGGATTTAGCCAGGAAGTTAGCTCTCCTACTTGGGTGGGAGCTTTTATTCCTGCCTTATCTAACTAGGGACAGCAAGTCTGGCCATACAGCCACGCCATATTTGCACCCTGTAAAGCCCCAACATTAGAGGCAAGAGCCAACACCAACTGTATATGAGATCAATGTGTAAACGCAACACCTGTTAAAAACACACTAAAAGGAAAAGGAGAGACCTAACAGACAATCAGAGAAGAAAGTGTGAACAACCTTTCTTCCACTCATTTCTCATTCTTTGTCTGTGCACCACCACAGCAGTGACTAGAGGGGGTGCCTGTGCAAGTGGACACTCCCTCCCACCCCTGAAGTTTTCCGCTGTGCACACACACTGATCTACTCAGCAAAGACTACTGGACTAATTTGCTACAGGGTTTTTTTTTGTTTTGTTTTAGTTTTTGCTTTTGTTTCTAGTTTTTGCCTTTTTGGCCCTACTTTTTTCATTGGGGTGTGAGCTTTCTCTCCCCACCTTACCCAAGAAGAGACAGCGATCATGGCCATGTAGTCAAACTACAAGCATACCCTGTGATACCCCACCATCCAGCAGGAGCCAATACCAGCTGCTACACGTTACATAGATAGCCAACACTTGCTAAGATAGCTTGCAATTGAGTAATAAAAGATGTGAAAAGGGAAGCTTATCTCTGAAACACATCCACAAGGAGGCACTCAGCTTAATAATACAGCAAAATACATTCATTTAATCATTGAAAACACTTCTAACTATTGAAACTGTCCAAGAAACAACAGAAGATCTCAGCACATGCCCAGAAATAGAGTAACTGAGACAAATGAGCTGGAGATAGGTATAAACTTCCTATTAGAAGAAGAACAGGCTTTGGATTTGCCTGAGAAGGAATTCAGAAGAATAAGATGGAGACAAATCCAAATGCTTCACAGAGGGGTGGAAGAAAATAAGGAAGAAGTCAGGAAAGTGTTACAGGAGCAATCAACAAGATAGATATAGCATTGGAAACAAATCAAAACCTGAAAAAGAGGTCCAAATGATAATAAAATATCAGAAATGGACAGTACACTGAAAGGGCAAAAGAGTAGAACTGAAGACATAGAAGCCAGAACTGGAAGACAAATCTCTCAATACTGCTAAGATAGAAGAGCAAGCAGAAAAAAGGATAAAAATATCTGAAGAGATTCTAAGATTCATGTTGGACACCATGAAGAAGAATAACTTAAGAATTATTGGCATTCCAGAAAAGGAAGAATCACACAAGTCCACAGAGTAGCTAGCTGAGGAATTTCTGGAGGAAAATTTCCCTAACATCTTGAAGGATGACAGCAGAACGAACCCCAGGAAGGATAGACCCCAAAAGCAAATGACCAAAACATATCATAATCAAGCTTTCCAAAATCAAAGACAAGATGAGAATCCTAAAAGCAGTGAGGGAAAAGAGAAGTGTTACTTACAAAGGCAAGCAAATCAGATTAAGTTCTGATCTCTCAGCAGAAACTGTGCATGCAATGGGGACTAGGAAACATCAAGGCAAGTGGCCAGGTCCTCTCAACGCAAACCCCCTTCAAGACTAAGACTCAACGGAAATGCACGCTCTGATTGGTTACCACACGCATCACTGATGGGGGGAAGTGGGGTAAAAGCAGCAATGAAGCGGCAAGCTAAGCCCTACAATGTTCTGTGGACTTCTGTGGACCCAGTTGGGGACCTGGTTGGCAAGCAGTGTGAGGAGACCTGGGGACTCTTGGGCCCAGAGTCAGTGGTGTGGCCACGGAGGACTTGAGAGGAGAGTGGAGCTACCGGCTGATGGGAAGAGAAGGCATGTGCACAGGAGCGCCCACACTTGCAGATGATACCCACGTGACCTGGACCGGATGACTGGATGATCGGAGCTCAACCAGGAGAAGAAAAAAGAGGGGGAAAAAAAAAAAAGAGTGAGCTGATACAATCTGATGAACTTGACCTATACAAATCCTTACAGCAAGAAACATTCCCACGCCCTCCACACACAGAGTGGACAGAGATGGGCACCTTGGACATTGGATACTCAAATGGGGAGAGGGGCACTACAAAGGCAAGAAGTGACTGGCTTACAAGCTTTCAAGAGGGAACCTAGTGCTAGGGAGCATGGCTGAAGGCAGAATTTCCAGTAGGTACTATTCAATCTGTCTGGGTGGAGCTGATGAAAGGAGATACAGATGGGTAACTTGTGATACTGTAGTGAATAATGCTTATCAGGATGGACTATGAGGGCTGGATATGCAAAGGTAGACGTTTTGTAACAAGGAAGGGAGTGATCAATTCTCCAGGATAGGAGCGGAGGCCTCTGGGACCATCAACGGAGAAGAGCTGAGAGCGGGACCCTATCCAGAGAAACAGAGATGCCTGAGATAGAGACAGAGATGATGATGTGGAGTGATGGGACTTTGGACCCAGAGAGGGAAAGGGGGGGGGGAGATGTAAGGGGTGGGTTTCTGGGATATACCCTTTGGGTGGTTGATGATGCATGGAGGGGATTGGAACCATGGCAATGAAATGATATATGATGGAATGAATGTAAAACTAAAGTTCTCTCATGTAAACTATCATATAATTCACAATAAAACATTAAAAAAAAACTATTTAGATAACTATCACTTCATATTGTTTCATAGCTCTAAATGATTATCTGCTATGAAAATTCTAAAATTATAAACATTGGTATACATGGAAACTGATGAAGTGAATGGCCTATAGGTAAGCAAGTGCTTATGTAAGTGTACAATATTGGAAAGGATTTTTGCGTTTTAATTTTAGAGAAGACACTAATGGACAACGTTTACATTTTGCTATTTCAATTAATTTTCATTTAGCTAAACTTGAACTTTTTTTTAACTCTTTAATCTTTAAATTGATTCTGCTCCAAGTTTCATTAAAAAACACCTTTGGGTATTTTCAGTGTCCATGATATTGAAGTTTCAGTGTTTTTCTCACTATATAGCCCCTGTTACCTTCCTTATTTGATCTTAAGTGATCTTAGTTAAAGCTCAGATTGAATGTTAAAAAAAAAAAAAAAAGAATGCAATGGGGAGACATATATAAAACCCTGAAAGAGAGGTGGATTGGTTTTTACTTCATCACATAGTCACTAAGTTACCAGCCCAACATTCAGAACTAGATTTTGAACTGCTGTGCCCATTCTGTTTCCACTAATGCATTTTTCTCTAGATGATGTCTAGATTTGTTGTTGTTGTTAAGTGCCATCGAGTAGGTTCCGACTCATTAGTCACCTTGTGTATGACTTCCAAGGAGCAGCTGGTGGGTTTGAACCACCGACCTTGTGGTTAGCAGTCCAGTGCTTATCCTGCAGCACCACACCAGGACTCCATACCTAGATATTTCATGTTATTTTCTACCTGCTTTGTATTTTGAACATTTAGTGCACAAAATTTCAAACATAAGGAAAGGTAGAAGACCAGTACAGTGAATACACTTAAACCTTTATGTGGATTCCACAATTAACATGTTTGCCATATTTGTCTATTATGTATGTGTATTTTCTGAACAACTTGAGAGTTGGTGGCATCTTGATCTTTCACCCCAAAATACTTCAGTATGCATCTCCTAACTAAGTACAGCATCATAATTCTACCAAAAAAAAATTATATATATGTATATGTATATATAAAATTTCCATAGTCCCTAACATCTAGCACATATTTGAAAGAGCCCTGGTGGCATAGTGGTTGAATCTCAACTACAAACAAAAGTCAGCAGTTCTAACCCACCAGCCACTTCACAGGAGAAAAACACCTTGTGATCTGCTCCCGTAAGGATTAGAATTATAGCCAAAGAAACCCATGGGGCAGTCTGTTCTGCCCTGTAGGGTCGCTGTAAGTCAGAATGAATTTGACAGCAGCAATGCATATTCAGATTTCCCAGGGTCCAGTTAAGGTTAGTGAATTTCATTTTAGTTTACAATTTACTACCATGTTGTTGTTGTTAAGTGCTGTTGAGTCAGTTCCAACCCGTAGTGACCCTGTATAGCAGCTGGTGAGCTTGAACCACTGACCTTGTGTTTCAAACCAACCTTGCAGTCCAGTGCATTAACCTGCAGCGCTAAACCAGGACTATCTGTAACACCCTAAAACTGGAAACTACTCAAATGAACATTAGTCAGATTGATACATTTTGTTGTTGGTGGTAAATGCTTTTGAGTCAGTTCCAACTCATAGTTACTTTGTATATGGTTTCTGAGGAGTGGCTGGTGAATTTGAACCACTGACTTTGTGGTTGAAACTAACCTTGCAGTCCATTGTCACACCAGAACTCCCAGATTAATAGATTGTGATATATTCTTCTGGTGGAATACTGTATATCAATGAAAAAATAAGACTATAACTGTTATAGTTGTGAAATGCAATTGAGTCTGTTCTGACTCATAGCCAACCTGTATAGGACTAAGGCTGGAAATCTCTGCAGGAGTAGAAAGCCTTATCTTTCTCCTGGAGTAGCTGGTGGGCCCTAACCGTCAACTTTGTAGTTTGAAGTCTAGTGCTTATCCTACAGGGCCATCTCATCAGCTATACACCATAATATGGATGAATCTCACAAACATTATGTTGGGCTGAAGAACCCAGAAACAATGTGAATCACTCACATGAAGATTAAGAATAGGCAAAAGTGCTTTACCATGAAAAAGTCGAGACTGCATTTCCCTGTAGGGCGGGTGTAGTGGCCAGGAGGGGTGAGAGAGGGACCTCTAGGTGCTGCTATGTTCTGTTTCGTGAGCTGGATACTGATTACATAGCTATGTTCATGATGAAACTTCTTAGAACTCCACATTGATGTTCTGTACACTTTTACATTTATGGAAAGTATATAAAACAGGACTACATAGGTGATAGTTGTGTATGAATTGTTTTACCAAATTAGGAGCATATAATGCTAGTTTACTTTTTCTGTTTTAAAGACCTTTCCTAAAGGAACTTTTTCCACTTAAGCACTGCTAGTTATTTTTCTCTGTTTCCCCCCTCTTGGTCTCTTTTACCAGTACCTTTCTGCATGATCTTCTTCCTGTCTTTCCCTTTTTCTGAAAACAGTTGTGTCGTTAATTGAATGAGTATAAAAGGGATCAGAGTAGGGACTGAAGGGTTAGGTTGGGGACAGTTCTCTGGCTTTCGTGGTTATTTTAGGCTGTATGGTGCAAGAGATTCTGTGATAGGTGGGGTTCATCCAGCAGTTAATTGGCCTCTGTCCTGAGCCAGGTTCTGTGCTTGTCTCCCAGGATTCCCAAGTTAATCAATGGCTTAGGTAGAGGGAGCACTGTGAGCAAGGACAGAGTTGGTACAGTGTTTGGAGAGAGTGAAATTCAGCAAGTAGTTCATCACTGCTGAAACAGTGTATGGTTAGCCAGGGAAGGCAAACCATCTAGGTGAATGTAACAGCATTTTGATAAGGTCACCTATAAATAAGCACATACTAAATGAAGGGTTCATTGAATCCATTGTACAGAAGACACCCTCAGGATAAGAGAATAACCAGAGGTTATATTTTGGAGGAAATGATTGAGTTACATTTTGAAGAAAACAAAAGTCTGAATTAGTAGGAAGGCATTAAAACTTGGCAGAGTATTCTGTAAAATGTTATGGAGATGGAAGCAGGTAGAGAGGACAGCCCAGTTTTAGGTCAATGCAAGGGAAATTTATTGAGACTGATCAAAGGAGAAAAGATAGGAGCTGTTAATGGGGCATGCTGAGAAGTACTTTTCTAACACACAGATTTGCTTCCATAGCTGTTACAGAGCCATTCATTGTCTCCTTTCTTCCTGTAGGCATTGGGAGCAAGGAAAGGGAGACTAAAACCCAGCAGGAGGACATTAAAGGGTCACTTGTTGGATTGACATCAGAGAGGTTTGAGGACGCTGTTCTCCAAAGCCCTGAACTTGGAAGGACCTGTGACCAGGAGCCCAGTAGTTCTGTGGGACACATGCCAGGACTTCCTACTTCCCAGCATGGTATCATACCCCTGCCTGATGACCTCAAAACTCACAACTCCTTCTGGAAGCCTTTTCAGTGCCCTGAGTGTGGGAAAGGCTTCAGTCGGAGCTCAAATCTTGTTAGACACCAGCGAACCCATGAAGAGGAGAAATCATATGGTTGTGTTGAGTGTGGGAAAGGCTTTACTCTGAGAGAATACCTTATGAAACACCAGAGAACCCACTTAGGAAAGAGGCCTTATGTGTGTAGTGAGTGCTGGAAAACCTTCAGCCAGAGACACCATCTTGAGGTCCACCAGAGAAGTCACACAGGAGAGAAACCCTACAAGTGCACTGACTGCTGGAAAAGCTTTGGTCGTAGGCAGCATCTTCAGGTGCACCGGAGAACTCACACTGGGGAGAAGCCCTATACCTGCGAGTGCGGCAAAAGCTTCAGCAGGAACGCGAACCTGGCAGTGCATCGGCGAGCCCACACGGGGGAGAAGCCCTATGGGTGCCAGGTGTGCGGGAAGCGTTTCAGTAAAGGGGAGCGACTGGTCAGGCACCAGAGGATCCACACAGGAGAGAAGCCCTACCACTGCCCTGCCTGTGGGAGAAGCTTCAACCAGAGGTCCATCCTTAACCGACACCAGAAAACTCAGCATCGCCAGGAAACCCCCGGGCCAGTCAAGGCACCCTACTGATGTGTCTCCTTTCTTTCTCTCTTTGCTGTTGGAAAGTGTTAGAGGAGGCAGGGCCTTCCCAAACCATCAAGTGAAGGGAAACCTCACTGGAAGCTTATCATTCATCTTTACTCACTGAGAGTCTTGTGGGAGGAGTTGGGTTACAGAGAAGTGCTTGGCCCCATTTTCTTCAAACTCATTTCTCAGGCATGGGAAAGGAACAAGGCCTGATTTATTTCAAGCCTCCGGAGAGCATAGCTTCTCACACCTCTTACCCTGGTGGTGCTAACAGGTTTTCAAATTGTATATTGAGGAAACTATTTCCTGAGTTCCAGTTCAGGTTAAAGTTTTTCTCCTTCAATGGAATGTTCTTCTCGGTCTCCGGAGGAAGTCTGATAGGAAAGGCAACAATTTTGTCACATATTGCAGCTGAAACAGTAAGTTTTCTGTTGCCTGTATTCAGACACTTCCCTCCCTGACTCTTTCATTTAATGGATATTTATTGGACACCTCGTCTGTTCCTAGCACTATGAACACAGTGGTGAATGAGACAGATGAGATGTGTTCTCGGAGCTTGTGATTACTGGAAATAAAGATGAAACCGTTGATAACACTCATTGTTAGTCTGCGCCGAGTGCTGAGGGAGGGTTGGTACTTCTCGTGCTCACTCAGTCCCCCTGACTACCGGCCCTCTGCTTGTGTGCTTGGGTCTCCTTACTGCGGGATCTCTTCTCAGTCAGTGGTTTACTGGGTTCCCAGCCCTCTTTGGATCTGACTCTAATGTTCTGCTCTCTTCAGTCAAATTTCTTTGTTCCATTGTTTCTTGTGTTATGTAATAGCTGTCAACTCATCAACTATTAGGAAGTGGATATTTTGCTGTTTACCACTGGATGAACATGAGAGTATTTTTGAAACCATTTATTAAAAAAATCTGTTTGAGTGAATCTGAAGATGTGTTAATAATACCTTATATTTGATGACATAGTATATAAAATCTTTTCTTGGTATTTATAACCCAAATATATGTTGCCCTACTCTATACCAGGAATTCTAGGTGCCCATGATGCATCACTGAACAAAGAGGGGGGAATATGTTCCTGGCCGTATGGCACTTATATTTTAGTGAATGTAGTTGATCTTCAGAACCACCCAAGGTAAAACACATGTGAAATCCCACAGATCCTCTGGAATTTCAGCATGCACTCTTGGTTCTGTCAGCTTCTTGCCTGAAATGCATTTGCTTCATACTTCTTACTACCAAATAGTCTGTTTGGTGCATCTGGATCTTTTTCTCTGAGATATTGGTGACCATGAGATGGTATCCACTGGTTTTGCATAAGTGCCAATTGAAGAATACCAATGTACATAGGCATTTAAATATATATATTTCTTAAGAAATCAGAAGATGCAGTACTTGTAACTATGTTTACTTTTCCTTGTATTATTTTGACATTACTAAAGGGTTGCCTTTCTGTAAAATTTTGGAAACTGCATAACTCGCGTGGACTGCACTGCAGTGTTCTTGTCACATGCCTTTGAACACTGGCTACTGAGTGAGCTATTTTATTTTGTCTTTTCTTGCCTGTGTATTATAATTGCAAGATATGATTTGTCTCATGATGCCTCTAATATTATATTCTTTTACTGAGCTATTTTTCCATTGTAAATAAGATAAACAGTCATGACAACACAGAGTTGTATTTATCCATTTTGAAACAGCAGCCAGGGTATTTAATTTTGAATTAGTAAATGCCCCTTCTGGTTCATCAGCTGCCCCCACTAGGCTGAGTGTATAGAGATGTGCACACAAGGGTGTGAGCACTCTGCCACTCTCACGGCCGCTCTCCCTGGTGCTAGGGTCCATATACAAAATCAGCTCTTGTTCCCCTACTTCTCATATGAGCCAAGAAGGCTTGTCAGCCAAACCCAGTGGGTTGCTTTTTGCTTGAACCATGTGGGGACCATCTCTGACGTCCCCTGGCTTCACAACTGGGAAAGAGAATCAAACTCAAAATCAGCCCAAGGCGGCTTCCTGTGAAGCAGGGGTCAGACCTGCTTCCACCCTCTCACAGCACTCTCTGCTTCACATCTGGGCTCAATAATGCATTGCAGTGGCCACACAGAACTCATAACAATACTCAAGATTATGGGGTTTATTAGGGACGTGAACAGGGTACAACTCAGGATCAAACCACCTCAGGACGCAGCAGTTCTCCAGGCAGACACACCTCACTCTCAGCATGTGATCCTTTGGCCGCAGCAGTTCTCCAGGCAGACACACCTCACTCTCAGCATGTGATCCTTTGGCCTCTGCCCTGCTTGAACACATAAAGTTCTATAGACTAGTCTGTGAATGCCCAAAGGGCACAATCTCCAAGCGAGTCTCCTGCCCATCAGCTTACTCATTCCATTAGGCCTGGAGCTTGAAGCTGCTCTGTCTCCATGCCACTGCCTCCAGCCGCTGCCTCTTGCCATCACCTCTGCCGTGGCTTTTTTCTAGATAGGGATCTCATGTGACACTTACGTTCTTCTTGCTGGTCCTAGGATCTTCCATCTTTGCTTCTGAGGTGACTCCTTTAGCCTGGCCTGAGGGCAAAACTAACCAATCCCAGCCTTAGAGCCCTGTTTACCTTATTTGCATGGCCCCATCCAACCACTTGATGAGAAATAAGACTTTGGATAGAAAAGCCTATCAAGTAAATTCAAGGCACCACACACTATAGCCCCTGGCTTTTCTAGCCATTGTCTTTCATAAGTGAAGGATTAACTGTTCCCTCTTTCAGTTAGATACTCTCTTGTCGACCCTCATTCTAAGGCAGTACACCTATGAAGGCTTGTAAACCAGCCAACTCATACCTTTAATATCTCCCTTCTTTTTGGTAGCCATTGTCTAATGTGCTAGACTGCAAAGTCGGTTTGAACCACAAGGTCAGCGGTTCAAGCTTACCAGCCACTCCTTGGACACCCTATACAGGGTCACTATGAGTTGAAACTGACTCCACAGCACTTAACAACATCAACCCAGTACACTGAGATGACCAGCTTGTTCCTTGATCTGAAGAATCTTCCATTCCAGTTGGAATTTTGACCAAACGCATCCATAAGCATAAGTCCAGCCCATCAAAATGTAGCAATTTATACTTGTTCACAGTATCAAATATCTTTATTTTCATCTGGTCAGCTCAGCCCTAGCCATCCAAGCCAGGTCAAATGGGTACCAGCAACAAGTTTGGGAGTTCACACACACACCTTCCTTCACTTCAGAACATCTGACCCTTTCCCTGTCAATCCTAACCCCAAGGGGCTAGATCAGTGCCCATGGGCTCAGGAGTTTGCCACAACTCCCTTAACTTCAGACCAGCCATCCCTTACTTTTCTCTTTCATCTCAAGGTCAACAGGTACCAATGGAACATGTCCAAACGCAGCCCGTCTCTTCATTGCTGTATTTCCCCCACTTGCACTCAACAAGTAGACCTAAGTGGTCACTAACAAACATACTAGACTGCTTGTTGGCTCCCTTTAACTTTCAGTAATAGAAGAGGATTTTCTATGATGGGCACAGACGTTCATGCCTTGATGTGTAGGGCCAAAGAGAAGAATCCATTTCGTATATAAGCTTTAGCACGTCCTCTAGCTCCAAGAAAATGATATAT